ATGGTCGATGAACACTTTTCTACCACTGGTGCCCTTCCCAGCCAGCCTACCCTTGTGACGAGAATCGGGTTTACCAATCCCTTTCTATACTTTTAGATACTCTTGATAGCACTCAATAACTTCTTCAGTACTATAACCCTCTATCATGGAGCCCTCTGGGTATGCTCGATTATGCACGTATCGGCTTAGAACCGACATGAACCGCTCATAGGACCACATTTCATGCAAGTAGCAAGGACCCAGCGCCTGTATCTGATGAACCATGTAAATCATGAGATGTGGCATTATATTAAAAAAGCAGGAGGTAAACACATTTCTAGTTGGTTTTGTGTCTCCACCACAAATTCATGTAGGTCACTTAACTCTTTCTTACCAATCGTCTTCTGTGAGATCTTCAAAAAGAAGTAGCACATGCGGGTGATGGACATTTTCAAGAACTCTAGCTTTTATAGCCCTGATTACAATAGGTAGAAACACTGTCAACATCACATGACAATCTTGAGCCTTGTAGTGTTTAACAAGTCCTTCATCGACACTAGCTTCTTCACATTCGCTGAAAACCCAGTTAGGACTTTGACCCCCTCAGAAAAGTGCATATAGCTCTCTTCTCTTCTGGTGTTAGGTAGAAGCACGCGCATGGGCAGAGTGTATTTTCCATTAGCCTCAGGTACCAAGTGAAGTTGTGGCATCACGTTTAGCTGCACCATGTCTTTCCGTGATTTCAGACCATCCTTTGACTTGCCTGTATCTATCAATGTAGCAATAAGACTCTCAAAGACATTCTTCTGCACGTGCATAGCATCAATGGCATGGGGGACCTCCAAGTCTGGCCAATAAGGTAGATACTGAAAGATCGATTGTTTCTTGAAAGGTACGCCTTCGACAGGAGGTGTGCTTCTATCTCTGTTCGTCCCATCTGGATTCTTCTTTCCATAGATGATGCATACATTTTTCACCATTCTGTACACGTGTTCTCCGTTATGACGTCTCTCCGGAGGGGGTTCAATCTTCGGGGTGTTGTCATAAAATCTAAAGAACAATTTATTGCGGTACTTGTGACCTGTCTTTAAGAAGCGCCAATTCCTTAGGTAAACTATCTTCTTGGATGCATCTAGGAACACCCATGTAGTACCATCCAAGCAAACTAAGCATCTCGTCTTCCCTTTAGTCTGTCTAGACAAAGTAAACATCGTGGAGTAATCATTGGTAGTAACAAATATTATTGCTCTACATATGAAGTCCTCCTTTTAGAACGCATCGTACATTGACTCCCCATGCCTCCATAGCCTCTCTATTTCTCGCATCAAAGGCTCGAGGAACACGTCTATATCAATGCCTGCTTGTTTAGGGCCAGAAATAAGAATAATGAGAAGGTACTTTCTCTTCTGACACAACTACGTTGGAAAGTTGTACATGGTCAAGATCACTGGCCAAGTGCTGTGGTCGCTCATCCTCTCATTGAAGGGATTCATTCTATCAATGCTCAAGCCAAACCGTGCATTCCTTGGGTCATCGCTGAATTCTTTATGCTCCTCATCGATCCTTTGCCACTGACTACAATCAGTTGGGTGTGCAATCTTATCATCATCCACCTTGTGCTCATCATCCCACCATGTCATGAGTGCGGCTTCTTTAGGGTTTAGGAAGATACGTCTCAAGCGGTCGGTCACTGACAGGTACCACATTACCAAGGTAGGAATTCTTCTCTACTTTGCATCGTTGCCTAATGGAGTGTCCTCTAGGGGCTGAGATTCTTGTGCCACCTTTTTTATACCCTTCTTATTCCTCTTTTTCCCCGAGGAGGCTTCGTCCCCACCATAAAGGTCATTGTTCTTGTACCGGCTGGCCCCACACCAGAGACATTTATCCAGTGACTTGAACGTTTCGCCATGAAAAAGGATACAGTGGTTGGGGCATGCATGGATTTTTTCAACCCCCATTATCAATGGACTTATGACCTCCTTCGTTTGATATGTGTTGGCGGGAACTGAGTTTGGTTGTGGCAGCACCCATGATAGGAGACGCAATAGATTATTGAAACTACAGTCTGACCAGCCGTACTTAGCCTTCAGGATGAGTAACTCAAGCATAAAGCGTAGCAATATCCAATGTGTCGGACAACCCTTTTTAACACCATACACAGTCTCCTGTGATGCTTTTCTCACCCTTTCCAAATTTTCTATACCTTTCGGGTTCTTTAGTAAAATCTCTGGTCCAAGGACCCGAATTATTTCCTCAAAATCATCATCACCAACACGTGCTCTCCCATCATTATTGGCACCACCTTCGTTGTTACCATCCCAACCACTAGCATCACCACCTTATTCATTGCCAAACTCAGGATCCATTTGTACATCAAGCTCTTCTGAGTATTGGGATAGGTATTCTAGGGTTTCGGTGTCGTCTTCTTCATCATCGTCGTCATTATCAACAACTATTGTTTCACCATGATGAATCCACACTGTGTAGTCCTCAATAAATCCTTACACAATCAAATGTTCTCTGATGATACTCACATCTGTCCATGTCATAAGGTTTTTGCAATCTTTGTAGGGACAAATAATTGTATCCTTATTCTCTGTTAACGTCGCTGCATGCTTCTCTGCGGCTTCAATAAATTTATCCACCTCTTCACGGAAACCTGTCTTGAACCTTAACGAACCATACATCCAAGACTTTCTGTACTTCATCTTTTAAAACACAACAATCAAAGAAAAAATATTAAAGGACTACTAATTCAGATATATATGTAAAGGAATCAAATTAATAATTAATTACTTGACAATAATTCTATATACTTCAGATATATATATAAATATAAATAAATCAAATTACATGAAGCATATCAAACACACAGCATGATAGAGGATAATTAATTAATGACCTATTTATCAATAAATAATTAAAAATATATATTTATTAATTAAAATAAATAATTTCAAAGACAACAATTTGCAATAATTAATATTTTACGCAATACCTTTCGTGTAAACCCTATTTCAATTTCATGAAACATAAATTTACAAAATTAAAATTAAAAAAAAACAAACCCTATATCTTAATCTAAATATACATGTTCATGAAACATACATGAAATTAGGGTGTAATCTCAACTAAAATCAAGCAAGATCGACTAATAAATGGTGTAATCTTTTTTATCTAACTAATTTACACAATAGCTTCAAAACTAGAGTCTAATTTGCTTCATACAAAGCTCAAACACTATAGAAGAGAGAGAAAAACAAAACTCTAATTACGATCACTAACCAACCATTAAAACTTTAAATAAAGGTTTGGAATAGTATTTTCTTACCTTATACAACATCTCCACCAAAGTATTTGAGATCAAAATCTCCCATCTTAGTAGAGTAATTTTTGGGAGGAGCTCAAGGTCTCCCAACCTTTTTTTTGCTCGGGTTGGGGAGAGTGGCCCGAGGTGGAAGAAAGTGGCTGCTATATATACAACGGATATTTATAGGGACAGTTAGTGATTCAGCCACCCCTACAAATGGACATAGTAGGGGCGGCTGGTAATAGCCGCCTCTACATACCAGCCGTCCCTATAAATCGACGTATTTATAGGGGCGGCTCGTATTACTCGTCGCCCTACTGTGCCATTTATAGAGGCGGCTGCTGTACTAGAGCCCGAACACGTCACTGTAGGGGCTGCTCCAATGTCAGCCGCCCCTAAAAATGCCCCATTGCTACAAATTATTTTTCACGTAGTGCGCGACCGACGGCAATCCCGGCACCGTGAGCGAGCACAGCACTTCGAGCGAGCACATCACTGTGAGCGACGACAATCCCAGCGGGCACGACACCGTGAGTGGGCACGGCAATCCCGGCAGGCACAGGCGTCGGAGATCATCTCGCGAGCGAGCGACGGCAATCCCAGCGCCGCCGGGCGATAGGAGACGGCGTGCGATGGCGCAAAGAGGAACCGTGGAAAAAAAATCACGACACCGCGTGGGAGGAGACGGCGCGGGGAATCGCGAAGATGCGCGCAACTACGGACGGTGCATTTTTACGCACGATGCAGGCCGGTTTGCCAAGTGTAAAAAAAATAGGAAAGCGATATGTGGTACTCTTGGAGATGAGTTTTTTCTCTCATTTTTCAAAAAAACATGGATGAGGAAGAAATATGAGACACTTTTAGAGATGCTCTCGCAGGATGTCTTAAACCAAACAGTGCCATATCCCTCCAATCAAACGTATGCTTTCATATCTTGGACGTGTGGACAAAAAAAAAACGCCCAGTCACCAAAGCCATCGGTACCTATCACCACTTCAATCGTGAAAGAGTGGCATCTTCTTCACGCCACGTTTCTCGAGAGGCATTTCTCCCCAACGATAATCAGTCTGTTCGCTTGCTTGTAAACGATCGTAAATTTTCAGCTAAAAACAGTGTTTTTCTCTCACACCAAACTAAATAACAGTAAATAATCCACAATACGATACGGGCTCCCGAACACACCGAATGTCGCGGCAAAGCGTCGGTCCTGTAAAACAGCTCGCAAGAAAAATGCGCAGAATCCAAATGGAGCTCCAGCTTGCCAAGCTGCCATGCTGTCTAACTGACAGAGGGACCCACCCTCGTGCTCCAGTCCGTAACGATCGTTAGTCGTGTAGTAGTACTCCAGATCTCATCGCCGAAGCCGTGGGCGGTGGGCCAGCGCGCACAGCGTCACGCCGTCACGTACACTGCTCGCAACCCGCTTGCCTACACACCAACGAATCAAGCTCACATCGCCACACTGACGTCCGGGCCCCGCGGTATGGGGCCTATTGTCAGTGACTGATGAGCAGTTGCTCTCATCATCGGGGCGAGTGACAGTGGATTCACAGGGCTCCCCGTCACAGCGACGTTGTTAAATAGAGTCCACCCACTGTGTCATCCCCTTCGCTATCCCTTGGTTGCCGCCGCCTCCAAAGCCACTCACAAACCCCCGCTTCCAGAACGTTCTCGAAGCTCCCCGCCGCCTCCTCCTCCACTCGCTCCGATGGCGAAGGACCCGATGCGCGTGCTCGTCACTGGCGCCGCAGGTACGGTGTTGAACCCTCCTTCCTTCCCGATCCGCGTAGTATCCGTTGTCGTCTGGTCCCTGCGCGGATCTGGCCTAGTCCGCCCGAGCCCGATTCGATCCTGTGGGGTTTAGAGTGTGTTAAATCGCTAGATCTCTGTTTTTGTCGCTTGATCTGATGTTGTTTAGGGCGTTAGGGTTGACGTAGATTTGACCAGTCGAAGAGCTCACTGTCCTTGTTCAGCTGGTAAAGTTGAGCCGATCCGCGGTGCTAGCTGATCTGATCGGTGGTTGGGGTTGATGGGTAGATCCTCGTGGTAGCCACTTGATCCAGTTAACTCGCTAGCTGCACTTAGTGAATTGCTTACTCTTTAGATAGTTGATTTCACAGCTGTGATCTCTAGTTGAGCCTTTAAGGGTTCTATTATGGAAGGTTTCGGGATATCAGCTTGTTCTGTTCTGGTTCAGGGGTTTTGGAGTCAGTGGACAGTGGTTACACCAAACGGGTGGATTTGATACATTTCATCCTATCAGATTATCTGGTGGGAGGGACTTAAGTCACAGATCTAGTTCCTCCATGGATTTTACATGCTAAAACTTGCATGAATTCTATCTACATGATCACTGCCTGAATGATGTAACGTTTTTGCTGTTCAAGATAGATGTCTTAATAATCATGTAATGTAATTAACGGAACTTCCTCAAACATTGAAGGCGGTGGTGTAGGCATCCAGGGGTCCAGGCCGCAGTTTGGGGCCCTCAATTTGCCTCCACCAAAAGTTGGTCATGCCAAATTATATGGCTGTCCTGACTTGTTCACTCTTTTGCATGGCATCTGAGTTCTTGCATTTCTGTTATCATAACAACAGGGCTTGGTATGGATTAGCCAAAATTTAGTTAAATATTCTGCTTATCCGTTTATACTAGCTTATGCCTAGCATTCATTTATAAAATCGCACAGCATGCCTGACACTTCCTGTCTGTTATGGAACTATTCTGATAAGCATCTACTGTGATACAACAATTATTGTCTGCTGCTTGTGTCAGATTTCATGGTATTAGAGCTGGTGTACAATTCATATTTACTTTCAGTTCCATTTTCTTATATGCTTGTACCGAGTTAAAATATGATGCTTCTTCTTGTTGTGATAGCGACCATCTTCTCTCACAACAGCTCTGGTACCATATTGGATGATATTTGTGACATTCAATAATTGTCATATTGTTGTAAAGATGTATCGGCAATAAAGGTGTGTCGGCTTTGAGGTTTGCCACATGCTATGATAGGATAGGGTGTTGCATTCTGCTTTGCATGCCCTGCACAACCCACAAATGGAGCCATGCATGCCATGTGCTTTCGTAGCAAACAAATTTGTCTTGAAAATATGTCTAGTCGATGAGTGATTGTCATTGTGATAGAGGATGAATTTGGATCCAAAATCTTACTACAGATTTGTCGCCCAGGATATGGGTGATATTTTGATTTGTTTATTAAGTCAAGCCCAATTTCATGTGGTAAGCCTGAGCATGAACGAGATCAATCATTCCCAAATTTAAGCAACATGACTAAAATTGGAGGATGCTGAGGCTGCCAACCAACGATCCATTGAAATTTTTCTGGTAGTTTTACATTCGAGGTATCTTTTTATTATAGGATGATCTCACTTTCTGGAGACTGGAGTAGGGATATTGGTATATTTGTTTGTTTGGTGGCTCCTTGTTCAGGGAAGTACTGTAAGATGTGCAGTTAGGTCATTAGCTTAACCCAGTAGAGGCAGTACCACCTCTCTTCTAGGAACTTTTGGGGTTAAGAAAACTGATTCTGGTCATTTTAAGTAGGTTTTCAAGTGAATTTTCCAGTCCCACAATGTTTTACATTTTATTTATGTAAACATCCCAATATTATCTGATAAAATTGCTTGCTGTACTGGAAATCGAGAGGAAATAGTCTGTGGTTGAGTATATTTTAGTTCTCAGAGGTTACCACTGAACCATACTGATTTGCAACTTTAGTGCTGACTTCATATTACGATTTCATTCTCTCACTGTTACCACAGTAGAAACGATTTGTACAAGGGGACATTTTAAACTGATCTTTCTCTAATTTTCGGAAGGCAATGTGAGCTAATTTGTTTTTTCGTTCGATAGGACAAATTGGATATGCTCTTGTTCCCATGATTGCTAGGGGAGTTATGCTTGGTGCAGACCAACCTGTTATTCTGCACATGCTTGACATTCCGCCAGCAGCTGAAGCCCTTAATGGCGTTAAGATGGAGTTGGTTGATGCTGCATTTCCTCTTCTGAAGGGTAAGCTGATGTGCTAATTCAGAGAGTACTGCCTCTTCTGTCTTCTATATGTGAATTGTTCTTGCTGCCTTGCTGATGTATAAACGTTTGGTAAACTATAGGAGTTGTCGCAACAACTGATGTTGTGGAAGCCTGCACTGGTGTGAATGTGGCCGTCATGGTTGGTGGATTCCCCAGGAAGGAGGGAATGGAAAGGAAAGATGTTATGTCGAAAAATGTTTCAATCTACAAAGCCCAAGCATCTGCCCTTGAAGCCCATGCGGCCCCTAACTGCAAGGTATTGGCTACCATCCAATTTTTTGTAGCAGACTAGTCACCATGCACTAAATTTGGTCATTTTGGTGCTGATAGTGCTGCCGATCACTCAATTCAGTCATGTAAGTGGTTATCCTGTCATCATGCACTTGATTTAGCTACTCATCTGGGTGGTCAATGGTGATGTACATAAATGGTGTATTATATATGGCCATTATAAAATGGATCTGCCCTGTTTTATGAGCTTTTTCTGTTTTGTATGCTCGACACTATGCCACTGCCAATCTGCCATTGTATGCCTTAACAAGTAGCCTCAACAAATATTAAATCAAATCAAATGATCTGAATTTCAGTTATTATGTACCCTTAGTTTCCTGAGAAGCCATGTCTGGTTCATTATGTTTCTTTGCTGTTTTCATCTGTAGATTTTTCAATACCCGTTCTGTGCTCTGCAGGTTCTGGTGGTGGCCAACCCAGCAAACACCAATGCTCTTATCTTGAAAGAATTTGCTCCATCTATTCCTGAGAAGAACGTTACTTGCCTGACCCGTCTAGACCACAACAGGGCTCTTGGCCAGATTTCTGAGAGACTTAGTGTCCAAGTTAGTGATGTGAAGAATGTTATCATCTGGGGTAACCACTCATCCACTCAGTGCCCTGATGTTAACCATGCCACAGTGAAGACTTCCGCTGGGGAGAAGCCTGTTCGTGAGCTTGTTGCTGATGATGAGTGGTAAATCAGAAATGCCAAAAATACTTGGATATTACTGTTTATTATTTTCCTGCCAGGTCGGGAACTAATGGTTTCACCCTTTGTTCTAACAGGCTTAATGGCGAATTCATCACAACTGTCCAACAGCGTGGTGCTGCAATCATCAAAGCGAGAAAGCTCTCCAGTGCTCTCTCAGCTGCTAGCTCTGCTTGTGACCACATTCGTGATTGGGTTCTTGGAACCCCTGAGGTCAGCTTCAGTTATTTGTGTCTTTCGATTCTTTCAGTTTTAAATGTGAACTTGTATCAACACCTTCAATTCTTTTTATTGTAGGGAACATTTGTTTCCATGGGTGTGTACTCTGATGGCTCATACGGTGTTCCTTCTGGACTTATTTACTCATTCCCAGTAACATGCAGTGGTGGTGAATGGAAAATCGTTCAAGGTATGATTGTTGTAGTGTTGAAAGGAAGACTTGACACAGCTGTTTGGGGCCTTTGTTCGTTGTAGTTTTTTTTTCATAGATGGCTAGATGTTGCAGTTTCTTCCATAGCTCTTGGTGTCTAAAGGATTTCAATAAAAACTTGCCATCCTACTCAGTAGTAAGGGATTATGGCCCGTTTTCTTAATCAAATAGAGCTAATGGAAAGGTGCTAAAAGATCTTGAGCTGATCTAAACAATCCAGATTATAGTCCACAGTTTGACTGAGCTTGAATATCCAACCACTCAGGCCCCCAGCCAACGAGAAGCTGACTCCCACCAGTTATTGCAGCTAATAAGTTTATGCATACAGGGCCTATGCCGCACCACGCTAACATGTTTTATCATAATCTAATAAGCTATCATCTTCCCGACACCAAAGTTCAAACATAAGTGTTTTTATCATAAATTACAATGCACCTGGCTTCCTAGAAATTCAAGTTTAAACCTTGTAAGTTGCCTGATGTTGTATCATGTAGGCCTCCCGATTGACGAGTTCTCAAGGAAGAAGCTGGATGCCACTGCCCAAGAGCTGTCGGAGGAGAAGTCGCTTGCTTACTCATGCCTCGAGTAAATTCTACCATACCCCTGAGAGCAATTGCTACCCCTATGTTTTGAATAAAAGAAACTCAATCTCCATTCATAGATTCTCACTCAGGGCTGCTGCACGTCGCAGTGCAGGCGTGTGTTGCTGGCGTCGCCCAGCGTGTATGAAGCTTGTAGCTCCTTTTTTGCCTGATGACTTGCAGGACATTTATTGAAAACTTGCTATTGAACCGCTTGACGATGGAAGCGGTAGCATAGTTTTGTTGCTTTCCTGGTGCCTAACTATTCTTAAGTTTACTGTTAGACCCTTTCTGGATTCCATGGATTTTTTTCTCAGATTTTACAGTTTCTGTTTTTAGTTTCCTGTTACAAATTCATTGTGTTCCAAACGAATGCTTTATTGCTGAGCGCGTCCCTGCTCTGTTTTCTGTCCCGGCACATGACAACTGTCGCGGTCTTGTGGCAAACTGCACATGTTCTTGCGGAAATGTTCGCCTGGGCGCGCGGTCTTGTGGCACACGTTCTTGCGGGAATGTTACCGAACGCCCTGTTCGCTTGAACTTAGAACTTATCAGTTGTACTGATATAGTAATTACAGTGTTTTTTTCAAGTAATAAATCAGTATAGTACCAGTTATTTTCCAGCCAGTCGAAGGTCGAAATTAGTGAAATTGATGTGATACCTTTTTCTTTTTAGCTTTGATGATGTGATACCAGCCGAACAGGGCTGAAATTAGTGAGGAGACAGATGATGTGATACCTTTTTTTTGGAGCTTTGATGATGTGATACCTAGAATAGGAGACAAGATTGATGATTAGTTCCATCAATCAGAAAAAAAAGAATATAATTTTTATGTATTGTGTTTATATTAATTGAGAGTATGGAAACTACAGTATTATTAGTTTCATGTTTGGAACTGTCCTAGCATCGTTTGCAGTTTGACAACTTGAAATCCAATATGAGCTGGGCAAATCAAATCTCAAGGGTGTCAGGACTAAGGATCAGATCTTGTACAACTTGTTCTTGGGTTCTGCTGAAGATATTTAAAAGTTCATAATCTGTTAGATGATGCCATATTCGTCCAGCCCATCGTCATTTGTCAGGTGGCGACGTGGGCAGCCCCAATGCTTTAACTCTTAATTGTTCATCATTCAGCATGGTTAACAACTTAACATCCAGGTCAGTTGTGGCAAACAGCTCCCATACCAGCCTTATCAGTTACGAGTTATCACGGTTAGCCGCCACCGTCACATCCCAGGGAGTAGTGAGTAGACCCCGCCGGCCCGCCGCAGCCGTGGACTCGTCTCTCCGTCGACCGTCATCACCTACTTAGCGTCGACACCGAGATGTCGTGATCGCCTCCGTCGGCCTGTCGTCCACGGGTATCAGTAGACTTGTAGCGGACTAGTGATTAGCGACAGAGGCGGCTCGTGTGAAGGGCCGTGGTCGCGGTGGTCGCGGCTCGTGTGAAGGGCTTGTATCGGAATATCGGATCGTGGCAGCAGGCAGCAGCTGCAAGGTCAATGCGCGCAGGCGCCGATGGACCATGGACGAAGCGGCAGCCGGCAGGACGCCAGGACATCATCGCCATGGTCAGCCAGCAAGTTCGCTTGCTCGTAAACGATCGTAAATTTTTAGCCGGAGATATTTTTTTTCTCTCACACCAAACCAGCCAGCAGTAAATAATCCATGATACGATACGGCCTCCCGAACAGGCTGAGAGTTCGGACAACTCCCCAGCTACAGTATTTCAAACATTCGGCTTACAGGGCCACAATTAATATAATCTAGGTGGGGGATTCTCTCCAACTCCCCAGCTACACAAGCATAATAATGCATTATTGATAGGCGAAGGCAGTCAGTATTAGGATCCACGGTAGAATCACGGCCTGACAGAATCTATCGGATTTTGAAATATGTATATGTTTTATATGTATATAGAAGTTGTAACATGTTGTCAAATAAAAATCGAAGCCTATTCGTATATACAACTTTAAAGATCTATTCAGCTGGTATTAAAGCCGGCTGATAAGCCGACTGAAGCTGATTTGCTTTAAGAGAAAACACTGTATATTCTAGCTGATAAGCCAACTGATAAGTTTGGCCATTGTCTTTTGGGAGCGTGCCTGAGCAACCAAGAGAAGAAAGGTACAACAAAGCAAACTTAGCAAGTCTAGCTAGCCAAGATGAGAACATACAAGCCTATAACGATAACAATGGCTGTAGCAAATTCATTTGACATAATGTGACTTGAGACTGGATAGTCACATCACCAACACATTTTAAATAATATTTATCACGACTCAATCATTTACAAAGTCCCGTACGTGTATCAACTGCAGTATCTAACACAGCAGGATAAATGGATTAACTCAATTTGTCATATACTACTACATAATTTTCACATTGGATCATGAGACTGTTAATAAATAAACTAGGATATGTACATGGCGGAGTCGGGATTGATTTGGCTTCACGAGATCTAGTGCGGATTATCCTGACCAGCAGGTTGAGTTTCAGAATTGGTGTAGTTGCATATAATAGGAAGATAAGTTTGTAGACTCGATCCGCTCCTAGTCCTACATGGCAAGTTGAAGTTGGCAATATGCATGCCACGGCGTACGGCGATCATCGATCCGCTCTTGTGGATTGGTCTTGTTCTCCGTTCTAGCTTTTGGTTTTGTAGCAGACTAGCGACGACACAGGCGGCTCGCGTGAGCATCGCTGCCCTGATCGCTGCAGTGGAACGTGCATGCGCGCAGCCTCGCTAATGGCTGAAAACACGTACGGATGCATTGGATCTTGTTATTATTATTAGACTAGGTAGCGTGTTCGTGCGTTGTTTCAGGATAACTAACATTTTGTACTTAAAATACATGGATCGCACGATAAGATAATAATACTGTAAAAATCAAATACCAACGTTAAAGTGTCATTTAATAAAAAAAAAACAAAGTTTGTGAAATTAGCATTATCATCGTAAATCTTAAAACAAACATAGTGGAGCTTCTGCCTTTTTAAAAAAAAGGAAAAATGAATGGTACAAGGCCAACGTTCTCTGTGGTATAATTTTTTTCAAGAAAGGAAAATTTAATTGTGACCTTTGTCATCCACTCTTACATAATAAGAACAAGCGATAAGATTCCTCATGAAGAGGTACCTAAAAATCACAAAACAATTGTGATAGATATAGATTCCAACTAAGCTATGCCATTTGACTGAACCATGTGTCCAACCTTTTACCCTTCTTACCAGGATAACTTGGAGCCTAGGAGGTTTGTACTTGGAGAGCTCTTGTCCTCGCCACCTACATTGGTAGATTGAGACAGCTACAGAGTTTGATCTGAGTAGTTTCTAAAGTGATGGGAATATTCAGCTTATGTACTTGAGAAGATATCGCTCACTGTTCTTACAGTTTAAGAATTAGTATCAGCAAGTATGTTTGTCGTGCCACGAGGAACAAAAATTTTGACCAAATGATCTGGCCATGAATAGTCGAGACTTCATTCCAGTATTACATTGTGGATGGTAGGCCTTCTTCCAACAACTATCATTGAGCAGTTTTCTGAACAATACATAAAGCAGTGACTTGCTATCTCAAAATGACTAATGTTCTGGACATAACTGAGAGTTTAGTCTTCTTTTTTAGATAATGTGAGTTCAGTCTTCTAGGCTTCTAACTGTGGTAGTTTTAGGTAGTCAAGATGAATAAAGGAAATGTTTAATCAAATCGTGGTCTACTTATCAGAAAAGTAATATTACATTGCATCCATACCGAGTACATATTGCAGAATAATAATCATTAATCTGACAATTGAAAATTAAGGATTATTTGACATGTCTCATTTCTTATCCTTTCGTTATACCTTGCAAAAAATAGTAATCAAGTATTAAGAAAAGCCTACCTTCCTACGACATCTTTGCAATTTCAGACCACTTTGTCCCATAACTTGTTGAGTCTGCATAACAGTGACAAGCATATAAGAGTATACACATTCAATTTATGTAGGAAGTGAACCAGTATATGCCTTAACAACAACATAATTTATTTCTTCTTTGTTTAAACATAAGAACACATTCCTTTGTATATAGCAATAAGGGAACAATTAGCTGATTCAAGCACAAGAGAAATGAAGCTGCAGACAGCCTATTGAATGAAGTAAAGGGAGAGCGATTACCATAGGCAATGGTATCTCTCCACATAGTAAATCCTGAAAAGGAATCAAACAACATGTATAAGAAAGAGAATATCTGAGACTTGCAGTTATGCATAGCTATACAAATTTACCCTTTTTAATTGTTTGGTCACCGTAAGTCCCAACAGTCCCCACCACCATCTCGCTGGGTGGCAATGAAGGTGGAAGCATAGGGGGTGGCGCTATGACCAGAACAGTGACCTCCTCATCCCTCGGCTGCCTCTTGGCCGACCTAAGCATTAAGAGATGATAACTGGAAATAAGGAAAGACAGTAGAATGGCAACGACAATGGATATCAGCAACAATCATGCTGCTACAAAAGCATAGTAGCAGCATAACAGAAGATCCCATATTTTTCCAGCAGTTGTTTAGTCTTGCAGTTGTTTATGTGAATGAAATAAAATAACTTTGATCAACCAACAAAGCATGTGAGAAAGCCAGAGTTTAAAACTTACAGGTTAATTGGCCAAACTGAGCTCAGTTAATATAATTAGGTGCAACTTGTTTATCAGCACAAAAAAGAAAAATTGTCTTGTTTTCAAATGCACATCTACAAATTGATTTGGTTGCACAATTTGATTTGCTCACTTTTAGGAATAGAAGTGATGGATCATGTATTGAAGAGACTTTGCCCAGTCTTCCTTAAAAAGTAAAGTTTGTAGTGTCTTCGTAACATTATAATCTGGATCCAAGTTGTGTTGCCAGCCCTATTAAAAAAGTGAAAAGAATTGAAGAACACAAATGGAAAAGAAATACCTATGAAAGATATCCTTGCGATTAAAGAAACAAAAGTGTAATACACAAATAGACAACCACATAAAACAGTTTATA